CCCCAAAACCCCAAAACCCCAAAACCCCGAGTTGAAGAATATGTATGCTTCAGAATTAATGTATTATAATCAAGTAAATTAATTAAATCAATTTTTCTGTTAAATTTAGGGTTCGACTTTAGATTCAAACCATTTTTTATCAAGATTTTTGATAAGATTTTCTTGTTTTTTAATCATTGTCTTAACTCTGTTCAAATCTTCGTGGACAACTCTATAAGCTTCTTCATTATTTGCTTAAATTTAGTTTCTAAACTCCTCAAGCTTTTTATACATCTTTTAGCTGGAGGTATCTTGTTTCTCAGATAATTAAACTTTGACTTTTTCCATTGTCTTTTTAATATCTTTGACAAAACCTTGCCACTCAACATCCCCTTGCATAATGTTGTCTTTGACTCTCCTAAGAATGAAATACTTGGGGAAATGAGAATTATTCTTTCCATAATGATTGTAATGCAACTCGCACTCATAAATCAGTTTAGCTTTTGCCATATAAGACTATGCTACCATTCTCTGCATAATCTTTTCGTAGGATTAGGAAATAACTGCAATGATGAAATTCAACAAGATGATATTCAAGAACAGTACTGATGTGATCCAAATAATCCAAGCAAATTAAACATGATATTCGTCAAGAAGGTGGAAATTATCAACTTAAAAATCTCCAGTAGAAGCTCTGAATGACATTATGAAATATCCAAATTAGCCAATTCCGTCATATTAGGAGTCAGTTTCATCAGTTGTTATCGACAAAAGCGTAAATATTAATCCGTAGAGGAAAATAACAATCCCATATAATGCAATAAAGAACTTAAGATCAACGAACACTGCTCTTAGCATTTGAACAAGGAAGCTAAACCCTTGGAAAATTCTGAGATATGAGAAGAACTTGACAAAAATGAATCCTAAACAAATCGAATATATAAGTCTTTCAACTCCCAAATGGACATGCATTAGATCAACTATAGCTGAGGCTACATACATCAGAATCAAGAATATATCAATATAATTCCAATAATCAGAGAAATAGTTTAATGCTCCTTAGATCCTTATTGTCTTAAACTCATACTGAAAATGGTATATAATATAACCTGCGCCAACAATCTTGACAAACCATTATTAAAATTCACTTCTCTCTTCTTGATATATAACCAAGAAGTAGATATCAACAATGAAATCTACAAGGAATATAAAAAACTACAAGAATGCCTTCAGATGAAACCAGAATGCATATTTGTCCCATTTAAAACTCAGAACTATTTGAATTAAATCTGATTCAAATAAATCTTCATTGCTTGACTTGTTCAGCACTTTCATGAATTAAGGGTCAGAAAATGATTAAGGAATCATTGGAAGTAAGTATTCAAGTTAGTAAGTAGTACCTTCATCATTTTTCTTAACAAATTTTTCAACTTCATCTTTATAGAAATAGTTGATCTTTGCAAGACTTGATGTTTAATCAAATTCTGAAATGTAGAAAGTGGATGTATCTTTTGAGTATAAAGGATACTAAGAAGTCTCAATGCTTAAAATCGGTAGTTTAGACAGTAGATAGTCTTTAAGATCAAAATTTTTAGAGATGAGATAGATCAAGTTTTTATCCACTATAGAGTTGAACAAGCTGTTATTTTGAAATCGGACCATTAAGTCAAGAGCAAAATAAATCTTTTGGTAATCATCATTTATCACATAGTAATCAAGTGGACTAAGGCCTTGCTCATTATTGATAAATAGCATATAGTCATGCTAATTTTATTAATTCGAAAGTCTTTATCTAATAGCATTAACAATAATGTCTGATTTCCCGGACACAACATGCAGGAGTGTTCCATTAAAGGGATCAATATAATTTGCTATTTCTCTAAAACTCATCCTATTTATTTTCTGAACGGCTATCGAATCACTCTTTTTTGAGTCAACTAGCTCAATTTATTCTAACTACAGCTGAAGGTCCTATTAAAAAGAAACAACACCTATCGGCTGATTACTGAAGTCTTTGAATATTATAAGGCATTCGTCAAGATCATAGGCAACATCAAACTAGCCATGGTTTAATCTAAAATACGACTCCAAGAAGCCTTCAAAGATATAGTACATCTTTTTGCCTTTTCTTTTTGGATTATTAAGGGAAAGAGTCAATTAGTTAAGCTAGAACGTCAATGAAAATGCTTTTTTCTAATTTTCAATCTGAATTTTCCCCATGAAAATTTCCAATTTAAGGTCATAGATCAAGTATTATTCATATAAATCTATCATCAAGTATCTATCTGTGGGAACAAACTAATCAATCTCTTCCTATGTCATTCCTTTTTTCTTTTATTCAGGGACTACCAAAGATTGGCTTTCGTAATGCTTATACTAAATTAAATCTAACTTTTCAAAAAGCTAAATGTCTTTTATGTACTGATCTAAGTTTACTTATTTTATACTCACTAGTTATTTTTCCACAACTTTTGCAAAATTTAAAAAATAGCGATCATCTTTATTTTTTCCCTTTTAAGTTGGGCCATCAACTGTTTTTTATTTTTGAATGTAAACCAATTAAGTCTTTGAAAATCTAACCAAAGTTACAAAGTTATCAATAGTTTTATGCTTACTCTCTTCGAACATATCTGAAAGCTCAAAAATCTTAGCTTGATTATCAGCATGTAGTATGATCATCAAACTCAAGCATTCTGATAAATGAACCCTCTTGATTTCTTGTTTATCTTCATAAATCATGAACTAGAAAGATTTCTTTTTTTTCTTATCAAAAGCCACAATTTAGATTTAACTTGTTAGTGCTTCAGCTTTTGACATAGCTAATTTAGATTCATATACAATTTTTACATTGAAATCCCATAGATAATTTTCACATTGCTTAATGTAAGATGTAAAAATGCTCTTATCATAATACTAGATATACTACAGGTTTAATTACTCTTAGGGGATATCTACTATTTCAGACTACAAATAATCACAATTAGTGACATAATATTTATCCACAAAAGTATCCTTGAAGTTTAAGTAGCTTTAGTTTTGCTTTGGTGTGATTGTATAGTTCACAAGTAAATGTTTTCTTGATTGATTTACAGTCATCCTTTTATTATCAATATTTTTTAGATTATTTTAAAGTTTTTCAATTTGCTTCATCTAAAAAGGCTCCTATCTGATTAGCTTAAGTTCATACTGCTAATCAAACTTAATTACTTGCAAGTATTCACTCATACTATCATCATCATTGATAAAGCAGCAAATCAAATAGTCATCTTAGATGTAATTGTAGTAAATATCCTTAGTATTCTTAGCATACATTCCTTCAGTTATGGGATGAGTCACTTAATGTTCTCTTTCACAAAGATGCACCCTGTATAAATCTTTGCCTTAAACATTTTATTTTTCATTGGTAACATAGAAGTAAATCTGATTGTTATAAGAATCATACTGTACCAATGATACTTATAAAATGTTATAGAAATTTTCATGTAATTGAGGTATAATGTCGAGTTTTTTTAAGGATCTCTCAACTTTGAATATATTTTTTCTGTTAATAATTAAACCCTTGTTGCATATTGTATTTGGACTATTACATACAAACTAAGATATGTCTTCTTTATCATCAAAGTAATCTAAAAAATCTTTCTTCTCAATGTCAAAAACTTTCTCTATCTTAAAGGAGCTATTTACTATCATTAGGAATTGACCGCAGTGAATTAAACTTAGATCATTTGTTTATATATTTGTTTGCTGCATTTAAATATGTTCTTTCTGAAGATTTATTTAGTACTTGTAATTGTATCCAAACATTATTAATTCATTTTTACCTATATATGATACTAGAAAGTTTTTCTAAACCTTATCATTAGTTTATTTTTCAGCTTCTTACTCACCATCAAATATCATTAGCTGAATCGTTTTGAATTCTACTCTGGATTCTAGATTAAGCATTAAGAATTATTTGTTATCGTGAATGAGAAACTTGTTATGTTTAATGACTTTGAAAATCATTTTTGAATGGCCAGACTCTAATGGAAGATTGAGTGTTCCAACTATTTGAAATGTTGGAATAGTATAAAGTACTATCTAAAACAAGTAATTTTCCCATTCTTTTACATCATCCTTTTCTTAATAGATCTTAAAATCCTAGATATTTTCATTTCCAGTTTCATCTCTGAACAAGACAGGCCTATATTTGCTATAGATTTCAGAAAAAACTCTGATCTCTTTCTCTTTTTCATAAGTACCTTTAAAGTTCCCATCTTTTTTCATCTCTATATTGTATAAAACATCTGAGTAGACGAACCAAGTGTTGAGACCGAGAAATTTAAGTTTATGAGAACTTTTGAATTATTTCAGTTATTAGACATGGTCCTTATATGATTTCTATTTTGAATTCACATCAAGAAATTGCTTCAAGATCTCCTTTGTTTCTGGATCTTTTGAAGAGAACTCATGATTAAGTCTTTGAGATATTAGTATGCTATCAGTAAGACTAGTTGATCCTCTGAACTATTTATGTAATTTTCTGAATTCAACAATGTCAGATATTTTAGTAATTGCATCATCTCGAGATTCCATTTTGTCTCTAGTTTGAGCATTTGATTTATCATCATAATCAATAGAATACTCTCCAATCTTCACATTATTTTACGTGAAACTTTAGAATTCATCAGCAACCTGCTATCTTTCTTGAGGAGTGCTTTTACCACTAAATTCCTAATCCTCAAAAACCTCGTCTATCAAGCTGTCTAATTAATTAAGTGGTATTTCAGAGATTTAATTTTTTCGATGAGTCATATCGAGACAAATAAATTAATTAATAATAGTGATAGGTATGAAATATAATTTTTAGTAGCCTCATCTTATTTTAATGCCAATTTTTATTTTTGAGGTTATATTTCATTAACTTCGAAGTTCTATTTTCATCTAAAATTATTGCAATTGTACTCTTAGGGGTTTTGGGGTTTTGGGGTTTTGGGG